GTCGCATCAAGAACATCAGGATGTGGGTCCGACAACCTGTCTTCGAAAGATGCCTGCCTGTGTCCTCGACTCCTGAACTCTAGGCCGTCAATTTTTTGCCCCCCGTGTTTCCTCTACAGTATCGTGTGCTGGGCAGGTGGTCGTGGGGTTGCTGTTAGTACGGCGCAAAAAGAGTCCCACTTTGTCAGGCCATGTTGGGCCATGAGCCGGGGGTGGGATGCTGGGAATGGCAGCGAAAGGAAAGAAGGCAAGAACGAAGGGGGCAGAAAGAATCACTGAAAAGCGGATGCAGGGGAACTTTGGGACACCTGGACCCCGAACCTCAAGGGGAAAGGCGGAAAGAGAGAGACGGGAACCTAGACTCTCCGCAAAGCAGGGCCTGCCAGCCGACCAGCCGGAGTCGATCGATTGCTTCTTCGCTGGCATAGGCTATGACGCACGGATGCTCCAGGCGGTGGTGCTTCAACAGTTTTGGATTCAGATCGTCGGATGCTGCAAGTGTGACTTTGCGTTGGAACACTGCCTTTGCCACGTGTTGCAGACCACAATCCGAACCCCAAGCCGTGTGTTTGTAGCATGAACGCATCTGGTCGTGCCTTGGCTTTCGGCAGATGTGTTTAGGCTCAGTTCGTGCCCTTTGTTGCTTGCAGGACTATATGTGGCTTCGCGATAAGACGAAGGACGGGATTCATTGGCCATGAGATCTTGGGGATAAAGGGTGGGTTGGCGTGAATGGCACTCAAAATGTGATGTGATGAGAGGGACCCGGAAGCATTCTTTGCATCTTTTCCACTGCAGCATGCTACAGCTTCTTGCTGCGGGATAGATGAAGCATGGTTTAGCATGGTTGCCTGGGCCAGCTGGAAGGACAACAAGTTGCTTCGCAAGCTTGTCCACAACCCCTTCGGCTACGTGGTGGCCCTACTGATGCGCACCCTGCCGGCCACCATGCGTGGAGAGCATGCGGCTTGGCTAATTATACATTATACATGTCCAGCGAGTATGCTTTCGGATGCCTTCTTGCGCCCAGGTCTTTCATGTGAAGATCACCAACCTCGCAGACAAGGCTTACTTCATGGACACTCGTCGCGGGGACTGGGCGGTGAAGCACGAGAAGGATGCCGTCATCTACGAAGGGGAGGTTGGCATTGTCAGCGTGAGCAGCCCATCGTGCAATCAAGCCGGCTGAGGTTGAAAGTTGAAGGTGTTAACAGCGTGTCCGAGAAAGTCAGTTGTAGATTGTAGATGCCAAAAATGTGTCTGGACTTGTCATTGTGGTGGAGACGAAGGTACCGTCCCCTTCTATGGAGGCGGCTTCCGCTTGTTTCCCTTTGCGGGCATGCGCAACTTGGTCAAAGCCCGCGGAGAGGTTGAACAAGCAAGCCAATTTCGCGCGTGTTCTTGCGAGTTCCGGGGTATTTTGAAGTTCCCTTGATCAGCCTGAACCTCCCCCGAAAGTCCCTCAGGACATATGGCTGGATGTTCTAGAGGTAAAAGGAGGCATCCTGTGTTAAAGCGAGTGTGTAAACGAAAGGTCTGGCACTTCCCAAGGCCCCGGCTACGCACACCTTCGCCTCTCTCACATCCACCCGGCATTGGCGACGTTCAATATCCGCCACTTGTGGCAGGGCACGTACCGTGCCTTGGATCCCAGAATGGATCTGCCTGTGTGGTTTCTGGATGAAAGTGCGTAACGTGTGCCACCAAGCTGTGCCAGAGGCAACCACAGGGACATGCACGACTTCTTAGTGAAGGATGTGATGCTGGAGGCAGGTCTCATGGAAGCCACCAGAATCTGAAGGCAGTGGAGTTGATCAGGAATTTGGATGTCCAGATTAACTTAACCTATGCACGCTCAGAACAGTTCTTCGCCATGAAGCTGCCGAGGTTTTAAAGACACTGCCCTTCAGAGAGCCTCATGCTACCCAAGTTCCGGGGGCCATATCGGAGTTCAGGGTTGTGTGGTTCTGATGCGCTTGCAAGCCTTCAAGTGACATGTGCGTCCCCCCCGGCAGAAAGCTGAGTTTGCGAAAGTCCCAGTACAATCCCTCAGGTGGATCGGCCGACGCCTCTTCACCACAGCGGGGACTTCATGGGCACGGCGAGCCTTACATGCACTTACGGCGCTCTGATCGGCTGAATGCAGAACCGAATTCTGAGAATGCATATGAAAGACGTTTGGCCCCCAGTCAGAGCGTGGAAGATGTGTGGAATGCCGAACGCCTGCCCCCTCCCCAAAGCTGCAAGCCAGCCAGAAGCTCACAGCAACCGAGGAGCAAGGTGCGCCTCAAGGCCACCCGGATTTTTTTTGGGGCAGCTGCTGGCTGCTCCCGAAGCCCAGAAGCCTAAACTTACCCATTGGGGGGCCTCCGATAGGCCTTAGGGAGCCAAGTCATCGGAAGTCCTTGAGGATCTTTGCCGTGCAAATTTCGTAGGATTTGGGGGCGCCCCCCCCGCTTGATCCGAGGTTTTTTTCTGAGGAAAGCAGCCTGTGTTCATATTCAAGACTCTGTTTCCAAACACTGCAAATGCCTCGCAAGCTCTGAGCATCTCTAACCTCTAAGCCCTGAGCCCTGTGGTCGTTCCTTGTCGTCGCAAGGGCGTTGAAGGTGTATACCCGAAATCTACACCCGAAACCTTCATCCCTAGACAAAGCAACCAGCGCAAGAGAAGAAACATGAGGTGAACGGAGATGGAGAGACACGGCTGGTGGACTTCTTCGGCGACTAAGGAAGACCAGAGCTGGGAGAATATTCTGCTAAACGCCGAACTTCTTTTGGAAGGACAACCAAGTGCTCAGTGCTCTTGTTAAATCAGACTCAGGCTGTAACCGGAGATCATGAGGCCTGGGAAAGGGGCCTTCTCAATGCCTGCAGCGAACCTCGAATGTTGAATGTCAAAACTCCTAATCTCCCAAACCCTCTAGCCCAGAGCTCCAAAGTCATCGTCCAAGCTTTCATTGAGATCCAAAAGCACACCTGAAAAGGCCCCTTTCCCTTGATCTCCTTGGTGGGTTCGTGAAGAGCCTCATGGCCCATCCAGGCGAATGAGTTGTAGGACGCCCCGGGTTGCAGACGTCTAACCACCAGTTTATGTGTTTGAAGCCCAGGGTCGGACCAAGAACAGGGATTGTATGAGCCGATGGCAACCGGTTGCACCAAAGCCTTGGAACCCCCCCCCCCCCCCCCCAAAAAAAAAAGAAAAATAACCTAAACGATGACACACGCACAAATCGGCATGTGCACCAAAAAGCCGCCTACACCGTAAACCCAAGGGGGCAGTTTCACACCTACGCGACGTCGGCTTGGAATATCTCCACAAAAAGCTGGGTTGCTGTTGGAGCCTAAACTAAGTCGCCCACAAACAGAGCAACATCAGTGCCTACTATGTATCCATACCGTGATGGCTTCATTTAAGCTTCTCAACACCAACCCGGAATACTCTCAGAGCACCTCAGACGTCAGCACGTCAGTGGTCGCGGTGGCAGTTCCAGGGGTTCTTGGGGGGTTCGGGTTCACGGACGTTGATGCCCTGAAGCTCATCGGATTTGTTTCATTTTTTCCGGGCCGAAGAACTCGGAGCTCCTTGGCAAGGCTTTCGGACTGTCAGCTACACGCCCAACGGTCGTCTGGACTTGAGTGCCTGAGCCCGAACCCTGGGAAATAAGCCCAACAAAGCCGACTGCGATCGCGGATGTGCCGATTTCCAATGGAGCAGGTGCATGCTTTTACTGCAGGGTGCCTTCATGGGTTCAGCCGAGGTCCCAAGGCCCCAGCAACCCAACTGAGCCCCAAAGTAGCAACCCTAGGGTTTAAGAGATCCCTTAACACAGCTTCGAGGGGTGTAAGGCGCACTGGAAGAACCCAGAAGGCTCCCGCAGAGTTCGGGCAAGCAGGCCCAAAGCAGCCTTTTTGTCGACGAGGCACCTGGGCCGTGTAAGCCACGAGCCCCCACAGAACCCTTGGAGCCTTCGGCTCCGGGCTCGCAACAGAAGGAGTGAAAAGACTCGCTTCGGCCCTTTCAACATCTTCGAGGGTTTAAAGGCATCCTTTGCAGTGATTAGGGTACGCATCTCTGAGCTTATGGAGGGCCATGCTGATGCTTCCTGTGTCAACGCCTGGGCGCTTGAGCCTCGCTTTTTCGGGTTTGCTTTTTGCTTCTTGGATTGATGTGAAGGTTTGTCCGAGGTTGGGGCACGGTCTTGTCGAGGCTGTGCAGTTCGTGGTCATGAGTTGGGATGCCAGTGATTCTTTCGATCTCTTTACATGACGAAACAGTCCGAAAAAGGGATCATCATCGGAGGGTACTATAATCCCGAAAAACGGACCGTTAGTATACAAGGGGGAACACCCCACGAGTCCCACTCCATTGCCAAGGCGGGGGTTCTGTGCGTGTCCAGCGTTTCAGGAATTCGCTTGCGGCACAGCTGTGGAGCTCTCGACAGCCCGAGGAATAGAAAATGTCTGCTCTGACCCAGGGACAAAGGGCCTCCATCGGGTTTGTCACGGGTAGTCCGGATGCAAACGGGTGGATTTGGGTCAATTTGAGGTCCTGCAGGTCTGTGCGTTCTTTCTGGGTGCTGTCTTTAAAAGGTGTCTTGCACTCTTGAATTCCAGAACCTAGACCCCAAAAACCTTCAAACCCTCAAACCCACGCTCGCCTGATTGAACCCTATGTTCGGCAAGGGGCACCGGCTAATGTTGGTGCGGGGGGCTGAGGATACCGGTTAAGGGCAAAGCCTCTTGGAATGCCCCTCTGCATCCCCGTCTGCAAAGTCGGTGTGCAAAGCGCCTCCAAATTCCCAGGCCTAAGCCATAAGCTAAACCCTAAGCTCCAAACCCCTAAAATAAGAACACCCAAACCCCCAAACCCTCAACCCAAAAAACCTCTAAACCCGAAACCCAAAACCCTGAAACCCTTCTGTTGTTGCCCTAAGGGGTGATATTCTTGAAGCTTCTTTCCGCCTCTGTCGGTTGCCTAAGCCCTCAACCCTTCTGTAGGCCGGCGGGAGCTCAGAGTACCCGGTTCGTCTGGGCTCCGCGGCGGTGGCGAAGCTACTCGAGTTGGAGGCTTTGGGGACTTGGAAGGGCTTTTAGTCTGCTTTCGGCCTTTAAGGTGTAACAGGGGCGTTAAACGGGGGAAAACAGGGGTCCCCCCCCCCCCCCAAAGTGGTTTTAGGCACCCGGACTTGGATTTCAGGGTGCAGCGCACCTGGGGTGTAGAGCTTCCCTTGGGGGGCGGCTGCCCTGCGCAGGCAAAGAATCTGCGATCAGTGCCAGCCACAGCATGCTGAAGTCAAGCTTGTGCTGCAAAACAAATACTATCATATACTCGCAACGCAGGTCCTTGCAGAAGCATGCGCAAGCCAAGCATAGATAGCACAGGGGTTGGGGTTGGTTCGGATTGGGAAGCACTGGGGCTTGGGTTGAGCTCCACAGCTTCGAGTTTTCTTTCTGCGCAAGCTCACAGGGCCAGCCATTTCTGGGCTATAGTCTTGGCAGCTGACCAGAGATGTTGTCCATGTAAGTTTGATTGATGTTTTATTCCGGCGCGGTCGAAGAAAGCGAGACCCTCTTTCCAGCCGTTGGCTCAACGCTTCATTCCCGCGATTCCATATCCGATACTACCTCCATACAATCAGATGCCCGGCTTCAAGTGTCCTTGTGAATCTGGAGGGGTGCATCCTGGAGGTTGGCAGGACTTGATTTGTTTGCAGAGGGGAAACGGACCGGGGTTGTTTGATCAGTTGGTGCGCGCAAAGGCTTGACGTTTTTTGATGGCACGTGGTCTGGCTGCTCTCCCCACCTAGGGCATGCTGTGAGCACTAGAGATTGCGAGCTCCCCTGGTGGGCCCAGGATACAGAACATCCATATATCATCTATCCTGCGACGTGGTGCCGGAACTGCGTTTATGGCTTCAGAGCTCTGCTGAAACCCTGCAGCCTATTCCAAACTCTTGGGGTGTTCCACGGTAGGGTTCCCAAGCTACGGAGGGGGGTCTTGGGAACCCTCATGTCCCAAGGCCTTCAAAGTAAACATGCTGGGAACCCGGCTGTGGGGCATTTCCTATTGAAGGCCCGAGAGGCCTCGACGTCCAAGAAGTGTTCGAACAAGTGCAACAGTCTTAGTCCCCCAAAGCTGACCGAACATATGTTCGAGAATGTGTTCCCGAAGGCCTGCAAGGGCCTACTTCAGAACCAAGATGGGTGTGTGGGCTCGCATTCACTGCACTACAGGGTTGAAATGGCCACAAGGGTTAAGGAAAAAGCGGGGCGATTGCAGAAGCCCAGATGCACAAAGCCATAAGAAGCCTGGGGATGAGGCAAAAGTAGGGCAGTTGCCTCGGCGTATTCTCGTGTTCATGCAGCACAAACCTCTTATCCCAGACCGTAAGGTTGAAGCCCGCTAGACCAAAGCAGCCTGAAACTAGGGTTTGCCTATGAGCCCAACGGGATTGTTGTAGGGTTGTAGGGTTATCCGCAGGCATGCCAAAGGATGGCGAGAAAGACATCACCCCAAGCACGCCGCCAAGTGCCTCGACTTTCTTCCGCGGATGAGGGGGGGGGTCTCCGCCCTGCACCCGAAAGCCCCAAGCGCTCAAACCCTAACGTCGACAGAACGCAACCCTAGCTTAGAGTCTTAGAGTGGAAACAGCTTCTAACCTTAAGCTCCATGAGCCTGTAAGTTGGCCCCGGGCTCTAGAAACGACGAGGCGGGCGCAGGGATCGTTGAAAAGCCAACAAAGGCCGACTCGTTTCTCCTTTCAGAGCCTTTTAGGGTTGAGGGACTTGGGGTTGTGGAGCCTCGTCTGGTCTCCCTTCATCCCAAGACTTCTCCTGAGACCCTACCTCTCCGTCCTTCTCTTGAAAAGTGACTCCTTGGGCAGCTCTCTAAATTTCTAAATTATGGACAAATTATGGTTCTTATGGGTAGCCTCGAGTTGGAGGCTCCAGACTTGTGTGGGAGCCCCCCCCAGCCGTCCCTTTGTTCAGGGAGCCCTGCGCCCCCGAAGGATCAATCTGCGGATAAGGGTACTTTGCGAAACAGGGGAGCCCTTTTATACCCCCCCAAATAGAACGGAATTCTTGAAAGGGACAACCCCCAAGAAATGTGCCCTTGACTTCGGAATGCAGGTATCTCCCGCCGCGCCGTACTGCGAGTGGATGGCATGACTTGCTCCAACTGCTCCTCAGCCGTGGAGAGGCAGGGACGGAGCCATCGTGCACCTGTCGTAATTCGCCCAGTGTAGCTGGCCATTCTGGAAGAAGCATGCCCAGCCCCAGGGCCCTGAACGAGCTCGAATTCGTGGAGCGCTGCCAGGCGCGAGACTTCAAAGACCTGAAGGGTGCGGGAGCATTCTTCTCCGGAAGTGTGGGGGGATCAAAGCCCTGCCTTATAGGAGCCGAACATTTTGGGGGGAGGTTTTTTTAGGGTTCAACACAGAATCGGCGGAATCCCTAAACCCGATGGAGGTTGACCTGATCAACTCGCGCGCCTCCATCACCTACAGAGGGCACCAGAGCGGTCCTGACCACACCGTGCAGGAGATCTGTGCGACTTGGCGGAGGTTAGCTTTACGTTGGATGGGATAGGGTTTAGGGTTTAGGGTTTAGGGCTTAGGGCTTAGGGTTTAGGGTTTAGGGTTTAGGGTTTAGGGTTTAGGGTTTAGGGTTTAGGGTTTAGGGTTTAGGGTTTAGGGTGGGGGGGGGACTCTGGATTACCCTTCCGCCCTACAGAAATCTCTGACCCCTCGCCCGCAAGCCACCCGAAACAGTCACAGAAGCCGCAGAAGCCTGCTGAGGACGAGGTGGAGAGCATCGGCTTCGAGGCTTGTCGCTTCCTTCTGAGCCTCAAAGTGCACCAAAAGCCTTTGAGGGCTTAGGGCTTAGGGAATCAGGGATCCTCCAGTAGGGTTGGCTGTGCGTACATCACGGTTGCGTCCGGCTGTGGAAAGTAGTTTGTGGCATGGGCATGGGCGTTTTGGCTTCTGCTTCGCCGTTGTTTGACACTGATGTCCGACGGGTTGGGGTTCAGGGTTCCAATAGCGTGCTGCAGCTCCCAGCTGATTAGGACAAGAGTCTGGGTCAAAAAAGAAGTCAGCATGGCTTGGCAGAGCCTGCAGAGAAGTAACAATGTAGGGGGTTGGTTCGGATAACCTCATGTAAAGTCAGTCGGCATCCTGAAATAACTCCTTAAGCCCTTCGCCATTTGTTCGTCACTCATATCGCAATTGCTACCCTGCAGCGTGGCTGGTCCGCTTGGCGGGTGACCCTAAACCCTAAACCCTAAACCCTAAACCCTAAACCCTAAACCCTAAACCCTAAACCCTAAACCCTAAACCCTAAACCCTAAACCCTGAACCCTGAACCCTGAACCCTAAACCCTAAACCCTAAACCCTAAATGGCTTAAGCCATCTACCTGTTTCGGAGGCGACGGTGCTGGAAGACTTCCAGGTCCTGGACTGCCACTGAGCTGAGGACTTGGCGTTAAGGGTTAAGGGTTTAGGGTTGAGGGTTTAGAGTTCAGGGTTTACGGTTTAGGGTGTTCCCCCCTTATACTTACAGTCCTTAATAGGGATTAGAGTACCTCCGATTCTCATCCCCATTAAGGACTGTTCGTGTAAGGGGGAATGTTCCAAGGCTTCAGCTTAACTTAAAACGGAAAAGTAGTAGAAGAATGGAATCGCAGGAGTAGTGGAACAAGAGAAGTATCGAAGATTCGAATCATGTCATAGAATCACAGGTTCATGGAGTGGTTCTGATGTAGCGATAGAATGATAGAAAGATAGAATGATGGAATGCTGGAATGATGGAATGATGGAATGATCGAATGATCGAACGGTGGAATGGTGGAATGATGGAATGTTGGAATGTTGGAATGATGGAATGATGGAATGATGGAATAATGGAACTGATGGCATGAAAGGCTGATGAATGATGGAGTGATGGCATGATATTGTAAGGATTAGTTGGTATAAATAAAGTCAGAATGATATAGTCATATAGTTAGACAATGGTTTAATGATGTGGGGATACAATGGTAAAGTGGTAAATGGTATAATGATATAGCCTTGCAATCGTACAATGACATACCAACATAACAGCACAGCAACACAACAACATAACAGTATAGCAAGAGGGTAATTTCGTAATGGAATGTTGATTTAAACACTAGACTAGCATACTACTGTAAACATTTATTGGTACATCAGTATAATATGAACACGTAGCCATATTACAAGCTTACTGGTATAGTAGTGTAAGCAAAAAACTCATCAACCCTATACGCATTTTAAGAAGATTACATGGTGTTTTGGAATAAAGCATGACAGGGACATATAATCTCATAAGCGTCATATCATCAAAATGCCAATCTATCATAATACTTTAGTATCATAGTATGATAACATGAATGGTAGAATGGTTGAACGACATCATAGTATGAAAGTAGCCTATTTTCAGAAATATCATACTCTATTCATTTCATAATATCACAGTATCATAATATCATGGCAGAATAGTAGATAATACCCATGACATAGTAGCATAAAAATATCGTTGCACTGGTATTAAGCATACCATAATCCCACAATACCATAATTTGCCAATCTAGTATAGTTACATAATCGAGTAACATAAGAAAGGTAACACAACAACTTGCGAACCTACTAATGCAGTCGCACCATACAGTGATGCAAGATGCCGCAAGAAACGCTTATATGACTGATACTAGTGTTTAACCACAGTATACTTTACGAGCACAACAACAAAATCTTAAAGCAACGTAAAAGTATAATGATGTGATGAGAAAACCATACTTAATATTATTGCAAGGTTTTCAATCGAGGGCGGAATAGTACCAGTCCCGAGAAGATCGAGGTGGAGCAGCTTGGGTGTAGGAGGTTGTTTTCCGGATTCAGGATTCCAGATTTGAGGGCTGTTTTCAGGGCTGGAGGGCTGAAAGGGCTTAGCTTGGGAGAGTTTGGGTTTCGGGGCCCAATATCCCTCAAACCGGAGGAGACTTCATGGTCCGGGGCCCAGAGGCCTAAATGGGCCCTTGTCACCATCTGCAGGGGCGGAAGGCGTGTTTCAGGTGCCATGCCTCAGCTTGGGTTTGTAGAACTTCTGGACCACCCGAAAACATCTGCAACTGTGCTGAGTGCTGGACATCAGGCGAGGCGTCGCCGGGTGGGCGGATGTCCTTGGACCTGATCGTGTCCCAGGTGGGCAAGGAGAAAGGCCGGGCACTGCGCATGTGCCGCTAAAGCGCTG